TCATTATATTGATTTGCCATTCTTGCAATCCTCATATGACTGGTGATAGATAGATAGATAGATAGATAGATAGATAGATAGATAGATAGATAGATAGATAGATATCACCTCTGCTGATGCTTTTAGTGAACATCTGGGACAAAGTCAAACAAACTAATCTATCTTAGATTGGCAATACTGTTCAGAGTTTCTTCTACTTAAGATCTCAGTAGATCTTCTACTGAGATCTATTTCAGATCTCAGCTGTCCCAAGGGGGATTTAGAATGTTTTGATTTCATGATTTTATGCTAAAATAGATTTCCATCAAGAAATCTCAGAGCTGTAGACTAGACTGGGAAGCCAAAGGCTATCCTAGATTAAGGCAATGGCGAACTACTTCCATAAAGATGCCAAGTTAGCTACATGATTGATTCAAGGGAAACTTTACCTTTTGCTTTCTCCAACCTGGTGTCTTTTTTAAGGGTTCGGATTGCAACTCCCAGAATTCCTTTGGTCATGCTGGCAATCTCAAAACATCTGGAGGCTATCAGATGCTTTTTTTAAAATTACTGTATTATGTTCAAAATTAAACAAGAAGAGATGCATGGCTCAAGGAATCAAGTCTCTGATTTATGTACCCCTGCACAGATTTCCCAAGATGCAAGATGACATCTGCTGGTCCTTGGAGAGAGCAAAAGTGGTTCATTTGGAGTGTGGAATTGGTAGACTTTGGTGTGGACAGTGAGATACCGATCAGCTTACTGAGATTTGAGTACAAGGAAGGAACTATATCTCTTCCAACTACATGGAAGAGATGTGGTGAATCACTACCCAAAAGGCACTGCTCTGTACTTGCAATACTATCTGAAGTGCATAGAAGGTTTTCGGTAATTTTATGCAAGTGCTTATTCAGCAGCCAGCCAGTCACTATCACTTCCCAAAATCACACCCAACATATCTAATGCCCTGGATCATATTTATCAACAGAGACCCTTGTGAATTAACCATTTTATCACTGTATAAGATTTTATACATCAGTCAACTTTACCCACCAAAACATATGCAATAATAAAATTGGGGGTCTTTAAAGTTCCAAAAGACTCTTTTTGGGTCTGGTTGTAACATACTCATGTGTGTCTGCTTTGGAAACTCTGATTACAAAGAGAGCTGGTTAAAAAAAAAAAATGGTACAAAAGCTTACAATATTCTCTGCCTCATTGACAAGAGGAGACTTTTTTTCAGTCTCCAACAACATGTGGAGAGGAAGAAAAAGGAAAAAAGAATTTCTTACAGAGGAATAGTGAACAACTTCTGTGAAGGATGCACATCAAAGGAAAGTTCTTCAAATACATATACAGTCTGAGATGTGATCCCACCAATCAGGAGGTTTCCTGGTTTATGCCA